TTCCTTCCTTCCTTCCTTCCTTCCTTCCTTCCTTCCTTCCTTCCTTCCTTCCTCTCATCTTTTTCTTCCTGCTTCCTCACACCCCATTCCTTTCCCGGCTCAGTGACAAATAGGGCAGAGGAAACCTAGTGCTTGACACCTGCTGTCACTCTTGGCCCCCAGACCTCTCAGAGGGTCCAATGCGTGGTTCAGACTTGCTCCCGTGTCCTGTAGTTTGGTTGGAAGGGGAGGGAGGAATTCCTTCTTCAAGGCCACCTGCAAAACTCCTCTACTCCACCTTTGTGAAAGGACCTGGGGACAAAACAGGAAATGGCAAGATGACCTTTGCTTTATACCTGAATAGCAGAGTGTTTCAAAGCACAAGAGAAAACCCCCTGACAGAACTTAAACACTCCCTCTCTTTCTCCACCCGTCTTCCTCTGGACGTTTTCTGACCGTAAAAGGAACTTCCCAAACCAGAACACCCCAAAAATGGCAACTGGGGAGCCTCCACGCCAACACAGGGACATGTTAGAGAGCCGAGCAAAACTCAACAGAAGTTCTCTCCAAACTGTTTTGATTGTGCATCTTATCAATTAAAAAAAAAAATTGAGCATGCCCTCCCAATATATCTATACACATGTATTAGTTTACTAGCATGTTATGTCCACTATAAAGCATGGTACAATGTAAACTATTTCCTGGAGAAACTCCCAGAACGAAAGTTACAGTTAATCCTGCCCCTTGTTCTAAGTTCAAGATAAATACCACAGAGTTTCACCATTTCAAGAATTGGTTTGGACCTGCAAGGAAGACTCTGCTGCGCACCCAAGAAAATCGGCAGAAGAGGCTGTCTGGAGTCCCCGTGACCAGCCGGTTCCTCCATTCTCCACCAAGATGGTCCTCCTTCCTTCCTTCCTTCTTATCCTCGCCTGCCTGTCAGGATCCTTCAGTCAAGAAGGTGAGGCTTAAACCCAGCGCAAGGGCAGCCCCACCTGTTCATTCAGGGTCCCGTGGTCTCCAGAAGCTGGGCGAAATCTGCTTGGCATTGCTGCCAATGGGGCTGTTGGAGCTCCTCTTCATGGGGAAGGGTAGAGCGTGTTTGTCAGTGGGGTGATTCCCCCACAACATGCTTCTGAGGTGGGTTAAGCTAAGAGAGGGGCTGGGCCAACCCCCAGGCGGTTTCATGACTAAGGGGAGACCTGAACTCCTGGCCCTCCATCTTCCCCACTGAACCAGCCTGTTCTTGGCTGAGAAGGAGAAGGTGTCCTGGTGTCCTCCAAGAGTTTCAAGGGCCAAGGGGGGACCTGAACGTGGGTCTCCCACTCAGAGTCCAACGCCTTCCCCACTATCCCTCCCCGTCCAGCACCCCAGGGGACCAGGACAAAAACATAGTTTCTCCACTGGTGAATCCGAAGATCAACAGCAAGTAACATCAGGGTTACCTCTGGACATTGGAAGAGGTGATGGACTCTCTCCTCCCACCCAAAATCTTTTTTAAAATCTCAGCGGCTCTTATCACTCGTTCCTTGGCCACTTTATAGCAATATTTCCAGCAAGGATTGCAAAGTACAGGAGTTAGCTACGTGGCCTGGAGTGGCTGTTGAGAAATTTCCCCCCCTGTACTAAAAGGAGTGTACGAAGCACAACCCCAAATCTTGATATTCATCTTTAAAGTGGAAATGCCACACTTCCTTCTTTTTCAAGTCCAGGTTTAGCCTCGGTTTCGCTTCCATGTGGCCTGCTTTACCCAGCATAAAGTAAGGCACAGAGGCCATAAAATTAAGTTACCATCAACGTTATAAAGAGCATAAATTTAAAATTAGGCAGAGGTCATATGAAAAACAGACTGAAATTTGAGTTAGAATTTAAAGTGGCAACTTTTTCACCATAATAGAAGTGGTGAAATGCAAAGTAGAAGAGTGTAATGTGCTTTACGATGAAAAGTGATTCAATAAGAGTGCAAACACGATCTTTGTGAAATCAAATTAAACCTTGCCTGCAGTCAGATGTGTTCAAATTTGGACTCAGCCATACAGAGGCTGCATTCTACCTTTTCTGGTGTGATGGGGTTTTTTTGCTCCAAAAAGTAAATTGAACCTAAAGAACTTGGGGTGAGATCACATCAAAACCTGAGTAAATTAATTGAGTCATTTAATCCAGCAATCCAATAGCTTCCTTTGGGCATTGTATAACAGGGTGCTGAAATAACTCCAGTTTTGGGATCTATGCAATACATTAACCAGTTTGGCTGGATTCACACAAGGTACATAGTAGCAAAAAACTAAACCAAGCCCAAACTAAGAGTAAGGCTAACCAAGCTTTTCATGTTGTGTGAATTCAGCCTCAGGGTTTCTGCTCTCACTAAGGAAGTTGTGTGAGAACCTGGAGATGTAGTGTTAGCACATTTGAGGGCACTAAGGAGGACATGGTGGACTTCCAGGATCCACCCCCTCATCTCCAATGGCCAACTACCCACCTTTGGGACACCTACAAGCAGGAA